CACCGTTGTGGAAGCTGCAACGGCCCGTTGGGGCGACAGCGGCTTGAGGCTACTTGTGAGGCTCGGCCTAATGCTGCTGTTGGTTCCGGTCATCTTCGTGATGCAGAGCTACTTGGGAATGGGCTTGGTTCAAGACTTGGAGAAGCTGCCTAAGCAGCTACAAGAGTTCAGCATTGCAGACAGCCAGTGTTCTTGTTGCTTCTTCAAGCACAGACATCCCAACACTGGCAAAAGGATCATGTGTGACAGGGAAGTTGTGTACCAGGCAGTGAGTGATTCATATGATGACCAAGAGGTCAGACGTACCTTTTCCCACGAGGTCTCACGAAGCAAGTCCGGCCTAGATGTCTTTGATGGGGCAGTCAGGAGTCAGCTGTCTGATAGAATTTCAGAACAGCGCTTGAGCAGCAGTCTCATTCCTCTTGACCTCTTCATTTACATGGTTTGGGCCTGGGACATTCCTTGGCTTGCGCCAAGACTCCATCTCATTTCCCAAGTTGGTAACCTTGGCCGCAACCCGGAATATGAGCATTATGACGACCTCTTGCGAGTCTTTTACGCATTGGCAGAGATGATTGACTGGGCGAAGGGGCTGCCATCCATCCTAGTACTGCTCTTCGTGTCCATGCGGCTATGGAAACTGATGTCACGCTGGAAATGTTGCCCTCGCATTGTGCGGGCACTTGCCTCTGCGGCCGTGGTCATTCTGAGCACTGCTCTTGTCTTCGTCATCATATCACTTGCGTTGGACTTGACCGAGGATGACTGGAACCCTTTGAACACACTGCCTTTCACCTTCTTCCTGCTGCTGGCAATTTACCTTTTAAAACCGCCCAAGGCGAAACTCCCGTCATTCTTCCGGAGTCTTGTGCAGCCGGGGCAACCGGGTTCATCCCCGCAGCCCTCTCCGAGCGAAGCTCGCAGCTGGAGCGGAAAGCTCGACCAGAGCACAGAAGAGCGCAGCTCCACTTCCAAAGACGTCCATGTGGCCGATGAATTCTTCTCAGTGTAGCTCGTGGCCTTGAAGGAGCTTGAGGAAGCTCATTCTCGAGTTTCCACACATCAGAAGTTGTTTCATTTCGAGGATGGTCATTCAGTCATTCATGATGGATCTGGTAGCTCGACATCGTGGAAACTGCCATATTTTGTGACAGCCAGACGCTGATGCCGCACAGTATTTAGAAGCAGGAGCATGGGCACCTGCTCAAATTTTCCAGAGGCATAGTCACGTCTGAGCCAACCCTTAAATATATGGGTCCAAACCTCTCGAAGCCTTGCCAGCCTTGCGCGAGTAGCAAGCAATGGGAAATAGGGCTTTGCTGCTTGCTGCCATGCGGTGTTATCAGTTCGGGCACTGTCATGTTGAGGGATGGCTTTACTACCAGATATTTGCAGCATCTTGCAGCTGTTGCTGCCTCGGCTTCCGCAGGGCACTTTTTGTTAGCCATCCGACCACGCCCGGTCTTAGACTCTTAGACCTTGCAGCGAGGGCTTCAAACCACTAAACCACCAAGGTGGACGGCAGCTCGCTTTTCACGCCTGTGCAGCACCCCTGGGCGCGCGATGTGAAGCCCAAGGCCTGATTCTTCGAATTATATATATATATATATAGCGAGATAAGAATATATTTATATATATATATATATATATGCTCACTGGCATTCATATCATGCATACAGTTTATTCTACACAAGCAAACACGTTTGAGGAGCTCTTCCGTCACTCCGATCTGGCGCCTACGCGGCCGCCTTTGGCAAAAAGTGTTCGCAAACCTGCCGGCTGCTTTGTTGCATTTCGGGGTTTAGGGTTTAGGGTTTAGGGTTGTTATGAAGGAGGCTTTAAGAACCATGGGCAGTTGCAAGTGACGTTCAAGCATGGCAGCGTCACGGAATGTGCGAGGCTGCTCAGGGCCTTTGCCTGGGGGTCCTCTTGCTGTGACTGGTTTTAGGATTTGATGATTTGGGCTTACAGGTTGAGGGAGGGGATGTTGTGGTAGTATTGAGGCTTTGCAGAATTAGAAAGGGCGAGTCTCAGAGAAAAGGGACCCTAAAACAGAACCCAAACTATTCGTATATTTGGCAATAGGACCCCTACTGTAACAAGGTACCGCTATTTCGCCGAACCCTCCCAATCAGAGTGCTTCGAGTCCAACTGGGCTTCATTAATGTTGTGGACATGCAGGCTTGACTACAGGAAAGCGGTGCTTGTCTGCGTGTGTGTGTGTGTGCATAGTGAAACCTGTGCGGGGTATGCCCAGTCCCTTATGCCGAACCCTGCGGCCGCGTGAGTTTCGAAAGCACACCCTGCATAATCCCTTCCCCCCGTTTGTTAAACCCCCCCCTAATGATAAATTGCACATTGGGGCGAATCCTCCCGAAATCATCCCTGCCCTTTAAAACCTATTCTGACTTAGCGGGGTTGTGTTTCGAGGCTCCAGTTACCCATGGAGCACAGAAAGAGCAAGAGCAGGAGCAACAGCAGAAGCGGGAGTATCAGCAAGAGCAAAGCAAAAGCAAAAGCAAAAGCAGGAGTAAGAGCAAGAGCAGGAGCAAAAGCGGGAGCAACAGCAAGAGCAGCAGCAGGTGCAAGAGACGCAGCAGAAGCAAGAGCAAAAGCCAGCGCGGGAGAAGGAGCCAAAGCAGGAGCAAATGCACGACCCCTCAAAAGTGGCAGTAGAGATAAACATACCCCCTAATAATAAAAACACTTTCCGAGTTTCTATGGGGGGGCCCCCGTTTGATATTAGGAGGAAGAGATTAAGTGCCTTCCATTCAAGGAGCGACGACAGCGTTCGGCAGCACTGTGCCGCCCATTCCGGCCAAGCATGCCGTAGCAGCTCTCCCAAAGGTTGAAGTCTTGTTGGCTTCTAGTTCAGCTGTCGGAGGCTTCGAGACCTCAACCGCGGCATGGGATCGTTTGCTACAAAGGTTTTGGGCAAAGGCAGATGGTTGTCGAGATATGGCACGGTAGTCAACAGAGCATCTACTCCAAGAGAGTCCGTCGGTGAAAAACTGAAGCCCGTAGCAGGCAACGGCTTTGCAGCCGCCCTCCAGCGCCCGTCCCTGGCAAGCAGGGTAGGGTGGTCGGATTGGGGCATGACGCAAGTTCCCGGTGACATTTGCCGAATCTTAACTTTGTGGTTTGTTCCCGGCGCATAGGAAGGAAGGCATAGGGTGAGTTGCAGGGCCAGCTCTGGTAGTGTAGCTGTGGTCCACAGACCTCGGAGCCCACGAGCGCGAGACCATAGACAGAGCATGCGGATTCGCGGTTCTTTTTGCGGGAGACCACTGACCGATGCCAGTGTTTCTTGGTGGGATCGGCTTCTGTTTAACAACCTATGTAACCAACGCACAACCTTACAACACCCGGCGTAACACCACTTCAAAAGCCTGTTGGGTCGCTACTTGAGCATCAAAACCCACCCCAAGGACTGCGAAAGGCTAATCACATCCAAACAATACTCAAAGGAACAAAATCATCGACACACCCACCAAGGTTCAGCAGAGGCCGAGACCCCGGACAGCGCACGGAGCGCGGAGGCTTTCGGCCGTCTGGCTTTGGGCCAAAAGCGCTACTTGGCCTCCGTTAGTGTAGTGAGCTGGCACTTGAGAGGGGCAGCATCCCACCGCATACAAACAAAAACAGAGGTCTCAAACAACGAAGTGAACCAAAACTCCACGGCACCAGCACCGTCACAGCGAGGGCAGTCCTTTGCCATGCCCAACTGCTTCAAAGCATCACTCCACACAGAACTACATGATCTCATTGGGACGTGGACGTCGAAGCGAAAAATAGGCGGATATAGGGGTTTAGGGTTGAGTGTGGCGCGAGAGAGAGAGGGTTGAGTGTGGTTGCAGAGTCTTATGGGCTTTTTTTTTTCGGGTCCTGGGCCTGGGCTTCCAGTTATGGGGCTTTACGGACTCCTGTCACATTCGGAGGGCTACGTAGGTTTTAGGACTTGGGTCTGAGGAGGCTTGGATTTCCGAAGGTTTGTTTTCAAAGGGCTTTGTATAGAGCTTCGACTAAGGAGGCGATTTTGGATTGTTTGCCGCAAACGACTGAGGGTTCATGGTCGAGATTTTTATGCAAACCTCTACTTGGAAGGCAAAGCTTGATGACTTACCTTTTCGTCATCCCGAGCTTGAGATACCCAGAGAACCCAATACCTCTTATTTAAAGAACATACTTTCAGTCATAATAGTAAGGCCCCTATCATTTCGGGTATATTCCTTAATTTAAGGGGTAGTCGGTTCTCTGGGTATAGCTGCCTAGTAAAGGTCTCCGAGCTTCTACGCTGTCTTAGAGGGTGCTATGATGTGCAATGTCGGAAAGCAAGCGAGAAACCATGGGCGCGCAGGCGGTTGGAAGCGTTTCCCGGAAACAGGAGAGCAGCTAGCAGCTAACATCTCTTTGGGCTTTTCGTTTCACTTTTGCCATTGCTAGAGGGCTTTTGGTGATCGTGGCTCCAGCCGTCTTAAGGATCGGAATTTTGATTCAACCCAACGTGTCCTTGAGTAGAAGGCATCCAAGGGCACTTTGCTTAGACCTGAGACAATAAAAACAAAGCCCTTAAAACCCCAAAGCCCTTAACAACCCCCGAGCCCTGAACACCATAAACCTCAGAACTCTCAGAACCCATAGCCTCCAAAACGCAGTCGCCAGAGTCCAAACCGAAAGCCAGTAAAGCCCTCGAACCCGCCAGGAGCCTGAAGCCCTCAACCCTCGAAGTTCTTCTCCCCCTCCCTCCCCCCCAATGAAAAGAAGCCATCTCAGAAGGTGATGACATCGCCAAGCCGAAGTCTCTCCGCGCAGCGGAACAGGTGCTGAAACGTCCGTGTCTTTTCAGACTCACGGCTAAGATTCAAGGTTTATTCGGGGTTAGGGTGAACAGCTTAGGGAGGAATATCAGGGGTTACGTTTCAGCTTGGGGGGTTTCTGAACTTCGTGACTTGGCTCTATGACTGCTTAGAATCTGAATCCTGCCTGCTCGGATGTATGTAAGGGGTGTCATACTTTTGTTCTAAATTTCTCATTTGGAGGCCTTCAGTGGCTTTGAGATGTTCTTCCATGGAGCCCGTCAGTCCTCGCACTGTTCGTTCTCTGTTCCACAGCATGCTCCATTGAATAAGCGCCAACCCTATTTGTATTTGCTTGAAGCTGCTTGAAGGTTCGGGGGGGTTGCAACGGGGGTAACACTGGTTACCAAACAATTACACGCATCAGTTGCTCTACGTTTCAGCCCGGAGCCTTCTGAGGGAGCAGGATCCTTCGAGCAAGGTTTCGGTTTTCGCAGAGCATATCCCAGGAAGCCTGCCGGGATGGATAGGGTCCTACTTCTGCCTCTATGTAGAAAATGAACCAGATGCTGGAAGCAAGAGCATAAACCCAAAGCCCGAGTGGGAAATCCTCGGCTACCGACTTTGCTTGACAACCGAGTTCGGCTGGAATTTGAGCAGTGCAAAGGTGTTCTGAGGCCCGGTGCTACTAGCTTTGCAAGTCTGACTCTCTTGAACCCAAAGCCTTGTTATGTTGACCTTCCGTGTCTGTTCGATAAAACACCTGAGCAGGAGCCTAGATCGAACAGGCCCCGACCACTAGCTATTTCCGCCATGGCAAGATGTGCCCCGATGTGGGGCCCAGCCTAGGGTTTAGAGTTTCGGGAGATGTGCAGCTTTTTGTTGGCGAATTGGGTGCTGGCAGTGAACATCTCGATATGGAATCGCTACATGCAGTTACGGGGGCCCGATTCGACCACAGAGCTCCGGTTTGGGCGCTGGTATCTGGTCCACAACCTACTGAGCATCTCTGGCTTCCCTGGCTCTTCCATGCTGCAGCCTTTCTCAAGTAACTCCGCGGCGGCCGTTTACAACGGCGAGATCTACAACCACCTTGAGCTCCGGCCCTTTCGAGGCTCCCAATTCCCTTTGGGTGCCGGCGATGGTGAAGTGCTGATTCCGGCCTTCGAGGACTTCGGACCCACTTTTCCCCGACACTTGGATGGTGAGTTTGCTTTGGCTTTGGTGGAGAGGGAGCTGGAGATGGTGGTTCTGGCCTTAGACGCCTTCGGCACGAAGCCCCTCTGGTACGGCATCTCCTCCGACGGCCTGCGCTTTGCTGCCGCATCCTATCGAAGCGCACTGACCAAGCTCGACCTGGCAGAGATACGGCCCGTGCCGCCGAACTCGATCCTTGTGTTCACTGCGAAGGAAGCGGAACCCGTCCAGCTCATTCAGCAGCTTGCGCAGTTTGAGTTTGACCTGAAACAGTGGAAGTCCGACACCAGAGATTGGGAGAAGGCCTTCATGCGGGCCGTAGCCCAAAGGGCCGGGCAAAATCGTCACCAGTTTTGGCTCGGCCTGAGCAGTGGCCACGATTCCGGCGCGGTCCACTGTGCCGTGGAGCTTTTGGCATCTGCCGCATCCCGCGAAGGCAACGTTAAAGCACTGCAGAACTCCACGCTACCACCATTTGAGTCATTTGGCCGGAAGGGCTACTCCGCGTGGATGGTTCGTGCTGGCGAATGGATGGACTATCTGCACGACCGAGTCGAGTACCATGGTGATGCACATAGCTCCGGGTTGGCGTTTCTCATCCAGCTCGGGCAGCAGGACTACGAGGAGCATCAGGTCATAATTCACAACCGTGCCGAACCATCATCTTATCCGTTGGTGATGGATTCTGCTGCCGTGGCCATGTCCTTCATTGGGCAAAGAGCGCGACAACTTGGTCAACTGGTCTACATCAGTGGGCAGGGCGCCGACGAGGTGCTCAGTGACTATGGCTTCCTCGGGGTACATGTGAATATTGACAAAGACCGCATCATTTTGAAGCGCCGCCGGCATCAGTTCTTTCCGGAAGACCTTTCCCAGGTCTTTCCTTGGAACAACTTCTTCCGAGGTACCATGCGCAACTTCATTTTCAAGGAGGAAGTGATCCTAGGCATCCACGGGATTGAGACACGGTACCCCTTTCTGAGCACACGTGTGGTGCAGGAGTACCTGTGGCTGACAAGCGAAGCCAAAAATAGACTGTACAAGACGCCAGTTTCCGAATTTTTGTCCCGGCACGGCTACTCGTATAAGGATGCGTCAAAACTGGGCTTCGTCGCATCACAGAACGTCGATCCGGAGGCTTCTAGCATCAGCCTGCTGCCCATGGGCAGGCCTATTGCCAAGAAGTTCTGGGAAGACCTCTTGTTGAAGACAAGTGGCCATTGCTTGGGTGGCAACAGTGTGCCAGGAATACGGGACGATCTCCTGGAATTGGCTTCCAAGCTGCGGCGCCCCTGCGCATTCTTCGGCGATGGTAGTGAGTGGATCGTGGCCAAGAGGATTGTAATGTGGGCCAACTTGCTGACGGGCTTCACCCCTCGCTCCACGGAGTGCGATGTAAATGCAGTCGCCGTCCACTTTGCCGGCTTGGCGCTCTGGAGCCTGGAAGGGGCCCGCGCTGTCGGGGAGAGAGGGAGGATCACCTCCTCCGTGGCTGTGCACTTCGAGGGGAGCGGCAGGGAAGCGGGCCCACTGTTGTCAACGCGGCAGTTGGATTGGGTGTTGAACCTGGACTGGAGTCAGGCTGGGCGGAAGCTCTTGGGTCTGGTGCTATCTCTGGTGGCCCGTGCTGCTGCCAGGGCGGCCACGCTGCTGCCTGAGGTACACGGAGATACTTCACTCTGTGACCAGAGACTTGAAGCACCGGAGGCGCTGCAGCGGAGACTACGTGACCTGTGGCAGCGGTGGCAGTCGGATACATCGGCTGGCACTGGGCTGCCGAGTGTCGTTCATTTCCTGGCGATCACGGAGCCATTTTGGACAGCCCTCGAGCCAGAAGGCCCAGCGCAGGGCCCTTCCAGCTGCCCCAGCAAAGCTCAGGAGATGTGCGCCACCCCGGAAGAGCTGGAGCCACGCTGGGAATATGCAGATTTGGCGCGACTTGGGACGACGCACAACTTCTCTGATTTGGAGTATGCACGTGGCGAGTATTCAGCCGATGGCTTTGTGTCAAAGGACACCATCAGCTTGGTGACTCTTTTTGCGAAAGGCTCTCGGCCTTTTGGCGTGTGGCTGACTCCCAAGGACGACGCCCCAATGCTGCAGCATTTCGAAAAAGATGAGGAGGGCTGGTACGCGGCCCATCAGCTGCTGCAGACCACGGATAGCTTTCAGATCCACTGGAATGAGAGCCTTACCCACTTGACGATCATGTACCAAGCTTTGCCCTGCTTTGGACTAGGGAATACTCGCTACGTCGAGGCCATCCCACTGAGAAAATCATACATCACGCAGACGGACTCTCCAGAAGCGTGCTGCACGCTTTGCTACCAGGAGACAAAGTGCGAGACTTGGATGTGGCTAATGGATGGCACCGGCAACACAGGCTGCTGGCTTGCTAGGGATGTCAGTGGCATTCAGAGCGACAACGGCGTCACCCTTGGTCGGATACGCGCCAGCAGCTGATCAAAAGATGCATGCGACATGATAGGAAACTTGCTGTAGGTTGCTGTCAGTCTAGTGTGCTACTCGTATCTTTCACTTGTGCAATGACACGCGCACATCGCCCGACCACCGAACACACCATTGCGTGCCATCCTCAACCGATTTTTCAGCCCCAAGCCCGGCTGAGGGTTCGGGGCCCGGGGCTGCAAGAAGAAGTGGTGAAGCTTCTTTTTTTTTTTGCAGATTCTGATGGCTCAGTATACTCATCTTGGCAAGTCCGGCCGAGTTGAAGTGAAGTTCACGACTCCGATTCGAACATTTCGGGGGCATGATATGATACTGGGGTATTGGATGGTATTCATACGGCTATTACAGGCAAGGGCCAGCCTCCGATCCAGCTGGCATTCCATAGGCCCAATTCACACTCACAGCCTGGCATAGGTTGCAGATCATGCATCAACAAAGCCACGAAGTGTTGGAAGTCCTGAGTATGCATGCAGGCCAAGCAGGCAGAAGAAAGACGGCAGAAAGAGCGACAGGAACGCGAGCAGGCGCCTCCTGTGATTCCAAGCACAGGTCAGGAGACGAAAACTGGTAATATAGGGCCTTAATAATTACCTCTACGATTGATGTTGGGGATTCCTTATTATAATTGCATTATTCTAATATACCCCAAAACCCTGTTCTAATTATCAAGGCCCCTACATTACCGTCTTGGTTTGAGGGCGGCCTCTAGTCTACGGTCAGAAGGGGCCTTAATCGTGATTAGGGGTAATTCGACTATAGTCATGTACGCAATGGAAAAGTCATTCGTTAAAGAATGAGCGACTAATGTGATTGATGGCAAGGAAAGGTTTATGCCCCTCCCACCGCAATCTCTTCCTGCAGACTAAGCCACTAAGCCTTTTCCAGCACACCCTCCCGTCGATACGATCTCCTCGGAATCCCGGTAAATCAGCTTGCCTCGACAGTCTTCAATGCAGCAGTTTGTCGCAAGGTGACTGCCACCCACTTTGCCGTTTCCTTGTCTTCTGTTGATGCGCTTCTACGGGGATAGGCTGAGAGCATAGTCAGAGACTCCGGCTCTCGACTAACTTACTCAAGCCCTAATTAGGAGGTAACGCCCTCAGCTTTCCTAAACCCAAGAGAGCGTCAAACACTAAATAGCCCACACTTTACGTAGCAGTAACCGTACGCAGGAGCGCGACCGAGCACGCATCGCCGCCGCCCAGGCCGCTGCGGCACAGGCGGCGCAGGAGCCAGACGAAGTCAGAATAATGTAGCGGCCTGAATGATAAGTGTATGGGTTTAGGGTTTAGGGCTTAGGGGAGAATCATATAACATAGTGTAGTGGCCCGAATGATTAGTAGTAGCATTTCCTTGCAGTCATTGTGCACTTCTAGTGTAAGATACCCCCAAATTAGATTGTGGTCATGAAGGTGCGTGCGTTTAGGATTTAGGGTTCGGTATAGAGCTTGTCCAACACAGCTCGAGGAATACTGCTCCGGGGCCTCTGCTCACTTGGGATATGAAGCCCCAAGCCCTAAAGCCCTAAAGCCCTAAACCCTAAGCCCCTGCCCCCTCAATATCATCCGCTTTGGGGATGGTGAGGCCTCGTGCGGAGTGATGTACTGCGGTGGTTGATGTGGTGGCAGCATGCTTGGGTACTCCAAACTGCTTCATAGATCTGAGATGCGTGCTCTTTCCCAACTCATGCTTTGGTTCTCCCGATCTTTGTGCTCATGCTATGCTAGTTTTTGTCTTGGGCTTTCTAGAAGGGGGAACGCAGCCGGAACATCATAGTCTACCATACTGTACCATGACTCACGACGATATACGAAAACATGCTATCATAGATTATAATGAGCTTTTGTCGAAGACTGTTGTGACTAGGGCCAGGGACATCACGAAACCTCCCGCGCACACATTGAAGTACTTACTGATTGTAGCGCAGAGGTGCTGTAGGGTGAGTGTTGCGGCAGCAGGTGGAACCCTATTGCAGACCAAATTACTAGGATCCTGATTGTTATGCCGCCCAAACAATAAGGGACCAGAAATGTCGGAAAACTGAACCTAAGGATTTGGAAACTTGCCGTTCGCCCCGAGTTTGGAGCAGTGTGAGCTCTAAGACACGGAACCTTCAGGCTACTGAAGGCCTTCGCCCGTTCCGGGGTCTCTGAACGGGCGTTGGAGCCCGAACCTACCCAACTCCCCTTGAGCCGTCTGGATCGAAAGCCATGATCACGATGATGCTCATGGGTCGTGATGTTGATGATGGCAAGGATGATCGTAAGTCTAAGTATGAGTATGTGTTTGTGCATGAAGCTGCTTGAATAAGAATAACAGAAACAAGCCGAATCACGCATGGATTTCCCCGTCATTCGTAGGATCAGCTCTAGAACTTACGCCGTGAGCGGCGAAGGTAGCGTGTGTTTTCGCGGGAACGACATGCAAATCCGATCAAGCCACGAGGTCTAGCATTTTAGGAAGCCTCACGGACAGCTCCACTGGGAACCGGAAAAGACTTACTGCTTGAGTCTCCAGGAAGCCCGTGGGAAACCTGCTGTTGCGGCTCCAGGCTCTGCGGCTTTGGGACCGGTTTCTGAAGAAAGCGCCTGCCGAGAGGAATCGATGGTTGCAGAACCCTTTGCCGATCCACGTCAGCAACACCCCCGAACATTCTATCTTTAAACCAACTTCACTAATTCTATACCCTATAAACGCTCCACTCGTGAATTCAGGGGCTAGCGCCCTCGTGCGCCTGCGCAGGTTTTATCCTACGTGAATTCTTGCAGAATCTTGCGCAAGCAACCAGAGTGGATAAGCAGGTTGGGCTTGGGACCCCTTTCCTCACATTGTCTGCCACCTGGCGCTGGGCGAAACTAGATCTTCATCGCTAAATACGAGACCGCCAACTGCAAGAAGTCTGAACTGCATAGAGTCGATAGTCTCTTCACGCCCTAAACTCTACACCGCAGAACCTAATCACGATCTTTAATCTGTATTCCCTGTAGAGGCGAGACCCTAAACCTCAAATCCCCATTCCCACCCTTCCTAAACCCTAGATGCGTACTCGACCCTGAAGCCGAATTCCTTGGCAAGGCCCGCGGGACGTGCCAAAGACCGCAGCTTCGAGGGGCGCAAGGCTTTGGTTGGTCTGTGCGTGGGTTTCTAGTATACTGCAGTACATTGTAATATTTCATAGTATGTTTGGGTATATTATAGTATATCGTAGCCTGCAAAATAGTGGGTTATGATGCCTGAACCTGAAGACTAGCTGTGAACCTCTTAGGTAAAGGGTCTTGAGGTGCAGGGCTCCAGTGCATGGTTTAGGGCAAAGGGTGAGTGTGTCTCCAAACTAGGGTCCCATTAGGGGCCTATGATGGAATTCTATAGGGCTTCTATAAGAGCGAACTATAAGGGTAGTTCTCCAAGTTCAGGTCCCTTTTCGGGTCCTCTTTGTAGGGGTGCCGTGCTATATTGACTTAGCAAATTGGACCCCGATTCAGAAAACTACCCATGTGCTGTAGATCCAGTCTCCATCGTAGGCATGAGCCAGGCGAGCTGGAAGCAGTTTGATTCCCAGGCCTTTTTCTCCGTCAGGTCTAGTCCTCCGAAGTTTCTTGACAACAACACGAGTGGCACCGTTCTAAGGTATAATATAGAAGCCAAAATAATTACCAATATTATTTTGGGGGTTCCTTATTTGGTTTATACTTCAAAGGAGCCCAAGACCCTATTAGAATTATGAAGGCCCCTATATTAGCCGCGCCAACCAAGTAGGACACGGGTGCAAGCAGACATAAGGATCTAATAAAGGGGCCCTGAGAATTACCTCTACTATTTTGGTTCCTTATTGGTTCCTTATTGTAGTTATAGTAAAATATGCCCCCCCAAAGCCCCTATTCGTTGAAAAGCTTGAAAGCCCCAAAACCCGGAACCTCATAGTCCTCAGCCCTCACACCCTGTAAGCCCTCCACTCTGAAATCTAAAATCCCCATGCATAGATCCCTGCAAGTAAACCTTAAAGCAGCCCGAACCGTAATCCTTAGAGCAACCCCTATAAGAAACCATGCAGAGTGAGCCTAACGGATTGCATCGTATTCAGAAGGCCCTCGAACGAGCCCCTCCTGTCTCCCGGATTCCTCGCGCGCCACGCTTCGGCGGGAACCTCGGGATCGCTTTTTGTTCTTTTGAGTAGGGTTTAGGGTTTAGTTTTGAGGGTTTCCGGGTTTCGTGTTTCAATCAGGGTTTGGCTTAAAGCCTCGCTCGGCGCATGTTAACCTGGCTAGCGTCAGAGACCTGGATGCAAAGGAAACGGGTTTCAGGGTTGTTTTAAGGATTTACCACAGGGTTTCAAGGTATTCCGAGGGTTGCTCTAGTCTATAGTCTTGACGGGGTTAGGTTTCTCTGCACCACGATTTTTAGGGTCTGCTGCAAAGCATAGGCATGGATGGAATAAGGGTGTAGGGCTCAGCTTTCGGTGCAATCGTCTAGTGCAATAGGGTTAGGATTCACGACGCCTGCTTGATTTTTTGATTCTGGAGATCGTTTTGCGAAAGACGTGTGGATTGGGCTTGGCTCTTTGGGAAGTTAACGTGACTTCTCGCTTGACTCAACATCTTGCATTGGCTTGTTAACAGGATACCTCATGGAGTTGCAGAAGTTGCGGCGAAAGCACACAACTGCTTGAAGTGGTCGGTGACTAGCGCGAGAAAAGGCAAACTTGCTGTCAACCCTTGATTCGTCCGGCTGTTCACTCATCCCTAAGCTCAACAGTGCAAACTCCAAAAAGGCAAAGCTGAACTCTGTGACGAGTGCCAGAAATCTAACACCTACATAGCTCAAAACGTCAGAAACCTCGCATCTTCTAGATGCTGGTGCTGATCGTAATATTCAGATGGGTAGTTCTCTAAACTTAGGATCCTTCTTTAGAGAGCTACGCGCATGAATATCGGTATGAAGATTCAGGTTTGAGATCGGGAGCTGCAGATCTGGCCTTCGTGCTACGGACGCCAAGCTGATAGGTTTTCTTTCATACACTTGTCATATGGGTTTTCGGAAGTTATGCCTTTGTAGTAGTAGTGTTTGCCTGGGGCACCCGAGCCCTAAAACACCCAAAACGTCGAACTGGAAACGCAAACCTTGAAGCCGAATCCTAAACCCTGCACCCCCTAGGTTAGCCATAGGCCCCATAGTAGTTCCTTTTTGGGATTACTTAACAGGATCCTAAATAATCCACAAAAAGGAAGCACTATGGGGCCTATGGGTAGGTTACAGAACCCCTGAGTTATGAGTACCTAAACCCTAAACCCTAAACCCTAAAGCCGACAAATCCACGCAGGCACCGGTCCTCCCTTTGCAGGAGCGCCCTGTACAGGTCGAGACGGCTCCTGGGCTGAAATATCTCAAAACAGCCCTGGTGTTGTGGGAGTTTGGCGAGTCTTTGCTTCTTTGGGTTTCGGGTTTAGTTTCTTTGTTGGTTTTGGGTGGATCTGTAAGGTGAATCTAGTATTGAACCTTTGACCTTACGGTTCTGGGAGTCTTATCGATTTCTTCATGATATTGCTGCACCCTGTCAGCTCTAAATCCCTGGATATACGCGGTTCAGGGGCTTGGGGTTGAGGGCTTTTGGCTAAAGATTCTGGGCAAAAGCCCTTGACCAATGCTGGGTCATCTGCGTGTTGGCTGGCTTTCGGTGCTGTTGCTTGAACTGCTTGAACTTACTTGGAGGTTCATGGGTAGTTAGTAGGTATAAGTGGAGTTATAAGTAAGCTAACTATACTTATAACCCATATTAGGGGACTTATAACCCTACTTATAACTAGCCATGAACCTCCAAGTACTCATGCAGCCAAGAACAAAGGCCTTGATCTGCAAGTTTTGCCAACCGTGAGGTGGAGGACCACCAGCTAAAGAGAATGCCCTCGGTGCCGTTGTTCCGTGAGCCCTACCTGGACCTGCGGAACATCGACCTGTCGCCAAAGTGTCCCGGCCAGCCACTGGTGGAGCTTATTGCAACTAGCATAATTAGCAAGATCAGTCTTTCAAAACCCCGGGATAGATCCCGGCCGCACAATATACTCAGGATACCCCAAGCCCCTGGTATCCCCGGGTCGGTTTTGTCTCCACATGCAGTATGCGTGTAGCATTCCAACAGTCTCCGCTGTCAGGAAGCCGGAAGACACTTGGCTGCACAGCATGGTGCTAGAGTTGCACGTTCTTTCATCGCTACAGCGGTCTTCAGGACTTCGCATAGACCCCGGAATGCTCGGCAGCTAACATCAGACGTGATCTCGTGCACTCCTGCACATGATTCATTTGTAGCACATCGGATGTTGTACCATGCCAAGCCCAGGACAACTACGCCATCTCTGACTACGGTGGTGACTCCGAAGGACGGGCATCCCAGCGGTTCAGGCTTTGCATCGGATGGTTCGAGCACTGGGGGTGTCCTGCTAATATGGATCAGGGTAGATGTTGGAGTCCCCTGTTTTCCGAAACTCTCTTGTGGGGTCGAGAAGTCCATCAGGTGAGGACACCGCTGCACGAGAGAAGATACGGCAGAAAAAGGCGGTTCCGCGGTGGTGCGATGCATGCCTGCACTTTGTTCCCTTTGATTATTATGTCAAGGTGGGACAGCAGCTTGGATGCCGTAGCATCACGAACACGGCGATTCCCATTGCATATTTCCGGAGGCTCTTATGTTCGACTCTGTGTATGATGGTCGCTGCCGGGGGTGGCTGTGGGGAAGGTGTTTCTGCTTGTGCCAACATTTGCATTGGTGTCCTTGGGGGACTCCCTGCATGCAACTTCTAAGCCTTAAACCGGTGACACCTGCAGAAACAACTGAGGACAGGTATCTGCTGCAAGTCCAGAAGCAAGTGGACATCGATGCTTGCCGGCACTTGCACCATCTTGCATTCGACAGCTGTCCTGCAGATGGATTGCCACAAGACTCCTATGCCATGGAATCGTGCATGCCATCCATTTGCATCCCAGGGTCTAGACATCCCCTAAGCCCTAAAGCCCCTAAACCATCCTAAACCCCAGGATCCTGACACCATCTTTGGCAAAGTGCCTCGCTGTGTGGGCGCCTGAGCTGTGGGCTCATTTTGGCCCCCGCTTCGATGCAGCAGATGTAACATAGGGGCCTTAGTGATTGGAGCAGGGTTCCGGCGCAAGTTTTGGTGTAATTATAATGCCAAAGGTATTCAGGTAATTACGAACCAAGAGCTGCGCAAGTTTGGTCACTGTTTCACATTTCAAGCGTGTGTGACGTGTTGCTTGCGCAGACCCGTTGCCTGCCATGGCCACTTCGCACCTGCTCAAACATGTTAACCCAATACTATCGGATGGTTGTTTTGGCCACCGCATCCTCCAGCGTTGGGCTCGTTCTTCCAGCGCTTGCTGCTGTGCCCGCATGGGAGTTTCCGAATATAAGTGGGTATCTTATTTTATTTTGGGGTCCTTATAATTAGGATCCTACTATTTAGGGCACTATACTCGGGTTCCCTATTTTCAGAAACCGTCACATGCACGGCAAAGGTTCTGGACGACATGTTTCCCGACTTCCTGTACCTGCAGGTCTGGCCCCGAATGTACGCATTCCTTGCAGACCGCACGTCTGTTGGCAGGAGGGATGCCCACAGTATAGTATAATAAACCATATGATATACTATGACTATGATACAGCATGATATGATATGATATGATCAGACGTTCCAAACGGAAAGAGAGGACCTTGCAGGCATGGCCGAAGCTATGACCACATTGTCAGATAGTGTGGGCCTTCATGTCTTTGAGCTCCTTCACTTTAGTGACTTTCGTGGCCGTTGATGTAGAGTCGTAGACCGAACCCTGCAGTCCTGTCGGTACTGCAACTCAGATACCGGTTCGTTTGGCACAGGCCCGACAGAAAAGACCTGCCCGTCGACGTGGTTCCTCCGGTCAGGGGCTGATTTTCTTTAGCGCAGCAGCCCAAATCCGCCTGAGGTCTAGTAGAATGCCCACTCCCTGCGCATCGGGCCTTGCTACATGCCCGACTTGCCAAGGTACATGTCAGAAGTACTTGTCGCATCCCCACCAGCACTACTGTCGCTTACATGGCCACCTAGGCGACTGGCGCCGCGATCGCCTCACGCGCTGTGAGATCCGCTCCTACAAGCAACGGAATCATGGCTAGGAAGGGGCTTGTCCCAGTAGCTTGTCACAGAAATTTTAGTATGTTAGAGTATGTTAAAGTTTACTAGAGTGTATTGTGGTATAGTAGAGTATAGTAGAGTTTGCTAGAGTATGGTAGGCATATTTGAGTATATTATAGCACATTAGAGTTTTTATAGCATCTTAGAGTCTATTATAGTATTAGATTACAGAGTATACTACTATACGTATATCATAGCATATTCGAGTACATTGACTTGTATATTAGAGTGGTAGCCCCGGGCCTCTGCTGTGCCCCACCGGGTCCCTGCTGTGAGTCTCTTTTTGTACCCTAAACCCTAAACCAGACGGAAAACAGGCACTCAAAGAAGAATAGCCTAAACCTCAAACAGTAAACCCTAAACCTTAAACCCTAAACCTCAAACAATAGAAAAAGTAAGCCCTACCCCTTAAAGCCTAAACCTTAAACCCTGAACGTGAGAGTCGAAAAAGGAGCCTTGCCTGCTGCGTGCGAGTGTGAGAGTCGAAACCCTGAACCCTCAACTGATATAAGAACCGAGGATGGGCCAGAAGCGGAGCTCCTCGGCGGAGGGTTGTAAGATTGTTTCAAAGGCTTACCTATAGTCTCCATTGTAGTTCTTTTTTGGGGTTACCTTATAGGATCCTAATCATAAAAATTGGTTAAACCAAAAAAAGGAGCTACAATGGAGACGATTGGTAGAGTGTAGGGTTTGCAAGGGTTTCAGACGAGTTCTGCGACGGGGGTGGCGTGTCGGGCGCTCGGACTCCGGTCAGGGCGGTGGTAGGTTGGCGTGGGCGGTTTAGGGTTTAGGGGTTTAGGGTTTAGGGTTTGTGTTTACAACCCCGGTGAGGTTTTGTGTGCGCTTCAGAAAGTCTTCATGTTGCTTTACATGAGGTGCAGAAACTTGGTACGCAGGAGCCAACAAGATGTGCATAAACCAACCAAGCAGTGAATGAGTTGCCACGCTAAGCTTAATGAGCTTGTTAAGCTTAAGTAAAGCTGTTAATACAAGAGCCAAGTAAAGCATGCATCACTCAACATGCATCCACATAGTATTTTCACAGCACAGGGACGAACGAGTGGTTAATGCCCACTTAAGCGTTGAAGCATGATGCAATGGCCGGCTTGGACACCCTTGGTGTGCTTGGTGCTGATCCACTCGGCCGCCGCAGACAATGCCACGGAAGCAGGGCTCTGGCAAGGGCCCTGCGCCAGAATCGTAAGCTGTCCTGCCTGACGTCTGAACGCGCTGCCCAGCGTGAAGAAGTTCCTGAAGGAACGGAATGGAGCAGACCTTTATCCCATGGTGGAGGTGATCTGGCAAAGGGGCCATGATCCGGAGATGGAGATCCACTCTTGCGATGGCCAGCCACCAAGCTCCCGGGTTGAAGCGGGGCTGTCGCCCTCTGCTCGCATTGCCTTGTCACCCTTCAGCACCCAGGACTTACACTTCCTCTTGCAGTGTCAGGGTATCCAGCCGGCACCTGCTAGCCAGGCACCCAAAGCCGCCTCCAAGGCAGATGCCTGTGAGAGACTCCCCGTGGTCAGTGCATGGGATTGGCAGTTCGTGGGCGCTGGGATTCTAATCTCCGTAGTCTTCGTCGTGCCGATCTGGATCCTTTGCCGCCTGGCCCAGAACAGTGGTCCTCTTTTGCGGCACCGCTTGGGTCCGAAGGCCAAATTGGATGACGAAGACGCGGCGATCTCGGGAGAGCAGCAGCAAGCAGCAGTGTAGTGCCCCTCGAAGAAACCAGTGGAATGTTCGCTACTTTGCCTGCAGAGCGCAGCTAGTGATGTGCACGATGTCCTTTTCAAAGCGGCTGTCCTACCTAACCCCCCCTCCCCCTCAAAAAAAGCAGGGTTTGGCCTTTCTCTGCTTGGAACACTGCATCTTCAACAACCCGTGGTCGCCGGTGCACGAAGACGGGATGTACTTGCACGTGTCTACCCAGTCGGCTATGTACATGTGTCTGTCTGTCTGTTAGCTTGTCTACATGTAGATCCATCCGCCTGCCTGTCTATATGTACGAATGTTGTACTGTGTCTTTATACACATGCCCAGTCATATTTACTGATCTATTTAGAGATGTTTCCCTGCCACAGAGCCCTAGCCGATCCGGTCCTACGTGGTGAGCCGGTCTACTACCTGCTGTCGAAGAGTTGTCTACCAGCAAAGACAGAGCCGCTTGGTTAAGGATGAATCGTGAGCTGATTGCTCGCGCTTTGTTCTGGCGTAGTGTAGGAAGGGCGGCCAGCCTGCCAGAAGGTTTTTCTGGTGTGGGGGCTGTTCACCTCCGAAAGCCAAAGGGCTACCCTCTTCGGAGGAGGCATCGCGCAACGGCCGGCATGATCAAGATGCCAGCGTCCAAAAGAGCAGCTCCCGTTCCGACTGCGTTGAGAAAGGAGCGTCTCTTACTAGAAATGTTACAGAGCGGTTCCTTCTTTTCCGAAGCTCCCCAAAAGGGGCTTCATGGCCCCAAATAGAGTCATAGAGTTGAAGCATGTCATGACACAACAGCCCGTTGGATTCAGTTCGGCCCCTGTGCTTGTGCGTTTTGTTGGTGCTACACCTGCTTTACGACACAGCACCCGCCACAACACCGTCTCTTGCAGCGTTTGCTTGGCGACCAGCTCCCCGACCGAACCCTCTGTCATGAACTTACCCAAGTCCTTCATCGCCTCAGAAAGCCGCGAGAGTTTAGGCTTCTGGGGCTGAGCAGCGGTTTGGGGGTTGTTTGGGGCTGTAAGTTCATTGCAGCAAGGCAAGGCCAACAAAGGAATGACGTGAGCCTGGGTTTTATATACAAAAAAAGTCATAGACTCTTTAATGCAGAGTCAAGGCGCAAAAGATTCCAGCAAAAGGATGAACAATCGAGGACTGGCTTGTGCATTGCAGCTGTGTGAAAGTGCACGCGCGAACAAGCTGAAGGCTGTCACTAGGCAGTGCGAGGATGATTACATATTTGCAAGCCGAGGTTGGGACGATGGACACGTGGTGGATGGGCGCCACTGAAGGAGGACATGGGTTTTAGAGGTTTGCATGGGAAGTTTTGTATGCAGCTTTCTGGGTTTAGGGTTCTGGGGCTTCTTGGCGATTCGAGGCCGTGTGTTGGCTGCGAGGGTGTTAGCGGGGCCGATTGCCTGAGCCACCGCTGGTCAACGGCTTCGGAGACAGCTTGGGCTTCCAAAGGTGAGATGTGACGAGGGAAGCGTTCGGTTGTGGGGAGAGGGACCTGATGCCTTTCCCCTCTGAAATTAAAGTCTATACTTTTTTCTCCTTTTGAAGTCTAGAACTCTAAACCCTAAACCCTAAACCCTGGTTACTTCAAAGTCTAGGCATCATATGCAGAATTCTGATGAACCCGGAACCGAGTTCAAGGCGACCAACTTAGATCGATTCCGACATGTTTACGTAGAGCCGGCTGTTCTGCCTACAGGGCGTCGGTGCACATATGATTGTGGGAGAGGGATAGAAGTTTCCATCGAGGTAGTCGAGGAGGTTCAAGACACAACTTCTCGGCTTAATTTTAAAGTTGGGACCATGTATTGCAGTATAGTATAATATATAGTATACTATAGTATGGTAAGTTGTCCTATATTGTGGTCTATTATAGTATATCATAACGAAAGCAAGCCGGAGGATTTCGGGCACTGGCCGCGCCAGCACAGTTACAGAGGGGTTGTAGCCATGAAGCGTCTCGGCGTGGCTCCGAGACTTTGAAAGAAGCGTCGAGGCTTTATGGCATCTGCCACCCTGAGCCTGCTAGCACCACCAAATTCAAGAGTTCATGTCTACAAATCTTGCAAGCCGAGTGAGTGCCGACGGACCGTCGCCAGCGGCGGCCTTTCGTCTTTATGTCCTACGTGTGCATAGATGGACGGATGCATCCGGACCAAATCTCACTTTTGTTCTTCTTATGGAGGCGGTCCTTGAAGCCTTAATTCAGCCTCCCGCGTCGGGGTCAAGCCGTTGAAGCTGCAAGTTCCCGTGCCCAACATGGGGAGAATCCTGGTAGAAGATGCGCGTGCCCCGACGCAGGCTTGCATGCTAGTTGTTTGCTTTAGCCCGCTATCCGCAGTGTGACCCTGAATTCAGGCATTCGGATGGCAAAGCGTAGCGAACCAAAAAGCGACGGTCTCCGTGCACTCCAAGCCCTAAACAAAAGCCACGAGAGCGGCGCTCTCTCTGGAACGTGTGTGCAGGCTTGTGTTAGGCTGCAGCCGCTCTCTACCAGCTGCCTGAAGATTTTGGGGCTAGCCCTTAGTTTCAAGTCACGACGGATGGTCCGATTGGTCGCTGACTGCTACTGATCTCTCAGGATCTGTCAATGCGGCGTCGTGGTCAAGACGATGGTAATTTGTACATCTGTTGGTGCTTCTGCGTTGCTATCGTTGTTAGATGTTGCTAGTGTAGATGTATCTGGAGAAGAGCATCTGGCCCTCCTTTGGAAGCTTGGAACCTGTGCGGACTTTCCTGGGCAACGGCTCAAAACCAGCTTCTTTCCCCCTTGTTGATGCCATGAAGTCTTAGCCGGTGTGCCCGAATCCTAAGAACCCAACACACTGGCATGTCTGAGCAGAGTCAAGATGCACTCGGAAACACATGGAGATTTGTCAGGCAAATGCCCCAGCAACATCGGCCCACTTCAGCTGTTCCCCTCACTGGACAGGACGCCTCAACCTCACTACAACGCACCCAAGCTTTAAACCCAGTCGCATGTTCACTTCTGCGCACTCCTTTGCATAATGCAACCCGGTGCAATATCATAGCACATAATATAATATAATACCACACTATGAGTATAACACACATCTTTACATATGCAAACATAAACTGATAAATAAATAAATAAATAAATATATATATATATATGTATATATATATATATACATATACATATCTGTAAATATATATATATACATATATATACACACACACACACATATATATATAAGAGAGCCCAAGAGACTCTTTGAGCCCAAGCCGAATAGCCACTCCCGAAGCAGCCGTTCGTGGTGCCATCCACGCCGATGCAGCGGAAAGGCCCGAAGTTTTAAAATCTTCTTGGTATTATTACAAGTATCAGTATTGATAATTATTATTACTATTGCAATTATTATTATTGATAATAAGTATTACTATTACAATTTTTATTTTATTAGTAGTATAATTATTGTTGTTTCTGTAATTGCTATGATTATGGTTGTCGCTGTACTCGTATGGAACAGTCCTATACCTGCAGTTTTCGAGGTTGGGGACGAGGGCCGTGAGGGTCGAGCTGGGGGCTCCGGTTTCGGGGCACTGGAATACGATTTAGGGTTTAGGGTTTAGGATTCCGGGCTTAGTGCATTGGAGTCCCTGCTCAAAAAAAGGGCTTTAAGGTGCTGCAGAAGGGCAGAGGAGGCAATTTTGGCAGTCATCAAGTCCGAAAAGGGTTTAGGGGTCTAGGGTTTAGGAGTTTAAGGGTTTAGGGGTTCGCATCACAGTCATGAGTAGTGTCTTGTGGGTCAAGCTGGGCAGTAAGGGCAGCAGACGAGTCCCTTGTGAATAAAGGGGTTTAGGGTGCTCATTTTCAGAGGGTACAGGCTGGGGATGCTAGTGTTTCGGCCCCGGGGTCTGTCGGTGCTTGCGCAGTCTGCACTATTAAGGTCTCAGATTGTTTGAGCATCTCTCGTCCCAAGGAGCTTGTCACCCTAAACCCTAAATCCCTAAACCTTAAACCGTAGCCATTTTGGCTCAAGATTTGTTTTCTCCAGGTTCTAACTGACTGCAAGGATGAAGGAACAGCGCGCTAAACACACCAGGACGCTTAGCAGGCTTTTCAGCACAAGCCATCCATCAAAGACGCAAGCAAACTGGCCTTGCTCAGCGAACAGCCCGAGGTAGTGCATACTTCCCACACGAATCGAAAGCCACACCGTAGCTGCGGGCATCCCTGCTTGGCTGCCAGCATGGGGCGCAAAAGAAGTTACGTTGATTTCACCCCATCCTCCAAGGCAGAGGACAAGGTCCCAACTCTTATGAACCAGATCAAGAAGAAGAACAAGCAGAACAAGAAGTACCTGCAGCCGACGACCAATAACGGAAAAAAACTGGTGCGAATGATTCTGATACGTTTGTGACAGGTGGCCACTTGGCCAGTCTGTTTTCTTGCCAGGTCGCAAGAAACGCAAGGCGCCTTGGTCATTAGGCGAGAGCCTATATTTAGCAAAGGTTAGCATTCCATTTCAAGGATGCACGAGTAGTCTCATGCCCAACATGCCCGGGTTTGCGTGTTTGCGACCTTTTTTTGGTGTCGTTGACTTGGTTGCAGAAACAACAAAGGACACTGTCCTTGATCCGAGTGCCTGTTCCCTAGATGAGACCGTGAGTGTGACATCACAGCAGGCCGTAGGCCCCCTGGATCTCGATGAACCCTTTGATCCTGAGGCCTCTGATGCTCTAAATCCTAACACCCCGGTTCTGGGCCCTAGGGGCCCTGACATGGTTTCCCTGCTGACCCTCCACAAAGGCCCATCGAGATCCAGGCTTGCAGGATGTTGCAGAGGAATACACCACTCACGAGGGAGGAGCTCTTACGTCTTTTTCAGATGTTCCCGCGCTCGTACTTTACGTAGGGATGCAAACTCGCGGGCAAACTACCTACTTGCTGGGGCTAACCCCCGCTGCAATGAACGCTTTTTGTCGTTGAGTTATGAGTGCTCGCACTCAATTGTTAATCGTTTCATCCGCACTGTTGCCCCGATGCACCCCTACGTAAACATGCTTTGTGATTCGCCGAGGTTGCTTAGGGCGCCCGCACCGAGACACCAAGAATGGCCCTTTCCCCTCCATGGTCATGAACCTTAGTGACTTAGTGTGGGTCATCCCGATGATGGTTTGTGGATGCAGGATCGTGTGGGTAAGGTCTCAAAAATGCACATGGGACACCGAGTCATGGGCAGTGTGGTGTCTCTGGAGAATCCGTTCTTCTTTAATGCACGGAAAGTGCTACATGCAGGTCAATGTAGGCAGGAAGCCCAGGGCCGAGCAGAGAGTTGTCCTGATAGCTTTCACTTCTTTGAATGCAGCTAACGTCTGTGGGATTTGTAAAACCTGGGCTTTCACTTCCCTAGTCGTACAAGGTTTCATTGTGCGATACATGGAGGGCCTTTCGGTGACGAACCACGCCTTCGGCAACTGACAGTCGCTGAGGCTGTCGGGCTCGCAACAGTAACTAAGGATACTCATGATGTCATTGAAGTCCTGGATTCACAAAACTAAGGCCACACATGTGTAACACGCGACGAGGCCATAGGTGGTCCGGCTCACAGACACCGCGAGCTGTCTGCGCTGTAGGTGTTTCGAATTCATTGCTGGACTGTTTTCCTTGCTGCACTGCCTTTTCCTTTGCTGGACTGCCTTGCCTTTGCATTGTGCATGAATGATGATGATGTTGGCGTCAGTCCTCTGGTCGATGGACTCGTCGTGATCCTGTCATGTCTAGGAGCTCCCTTAACAACCTTTCTATGTCAGTGTGCTTTCCCTCCTTTCCCTTGATAACAAACCACGAACCCGCGACCTTGCCTGCCCTGGATCTCGCCTGTCGCCTGGCCTCTGAGCGACTCTGGGAATGGGCCGAAGCTGCAATAAGAAGGCTCTGCATTCGTCATGTTTTCTGAACGGGTGCAATGAGTGTGGAAGATGCAGCCGAAGTCTGTAACTGAAGTCGTTCGGCTCCTCGGACAAGCAGATAAAGGCAAGCAGTCTAGGCAATGCAAGCCGCGACAAACCAGAGGGTGTGGAGCATTGAGTCTCAACCCCTGCATGCTGAGATGAATTCGGGGACCCAGGAGCCGGTGTACCCCACGGGATCGCTGGCGCAAAGTGACAGTTGCAGCCCTACGGGTCCCCTGGATTCGGTGTGCACAGCGTCCCTCCTTGACCAATACGAGCCTGTGACAAAAGAGCAGAGGAGAGCAAGTGAACAATCACCACAAAGAGACGTACTGAGCTGCACAATGTTTCACCTGAGCCTAGGCCTTTGTTCTGAAGTGAGCCCTGTAGGCAGCTAGACTAGCAGGCCTAAAGCTTGCTGACGAGCTTCCTAAGATGGCTGGTTGGGTTAGCATCGGTTGCCTGAGGAGCTAGTGTTTATCTTTGGTGGTGGAGTTGAACTGAAGATTCGTCAGATCAGATAGGATGTCAAAGGAGCTAAAATGCTCGTGGTTATCCGGCCGTCTTCTATTTAAGAGGGCTGGTTAGTTGATTACTCTTTGTATGAGGATCTAGTGTCGATTGGTTGCCCAAGTAGTATTTGAGAAGTCGAGTCGGCGTAATTCAGGATGCCTGCACCTGCTGAAGTTGGAGCTGCTGTCAGCTGGTTTGGTAGTTGGTTTGAGCATGTTTAGCTCGTTTGACTTGGGTTTGCATAGTCGCAGGCATCATGTCATCTTGTTTTCACACCGACTGCGCACACATGGATCCTCGCCTGGCTTGTTCGAGTTGTGAGAGTGTAAACCTTAAACCCTAAACCCTGAACCCCCTAAACCAAGGGTCTTGGGGTTCAAGTAGGGAGGCTTGAGGTTTCGAGCGCCAATTCTTGAGTTTAGGGCCCTTGGAATTTCCGAGCATACTCTGCCCCAATGTGTGCCCCTCGATTCAGCGCGTCACTGCTACATTGCCAGTATGGCATGTTGCATGACCACAAGAAAGCCCGAACCCTTGGCCCAGGATGTTGGCCGCGCCTGGGGTTCTCCCCCACTCGCCGATGCTCAGCCTTGTATGCCCGGAGTGGAGGACAACTATGAGTAGCATGGGCCAGTTGCAGGTATACGTCTGAGACAGAGACAGGCATACATGCTCACCCGCGAAACCCGAAGCCCACATCACGCACAGGACTGGACCTCCGGCCGGAAGCCTGCCACGGCCGGGGTCTGCACCACTGCTAGGCAGGCGCAGGCCGGTCCTCAAGCCTCCAAGCCCGATATTAGGAATGCATTCAGGCCTCCATCCATCCGTCCACCCACCCACACACCCAGCCAGCCAGCCAGCCAGCCAGCCAGCCAGCCAGCCAGCCAGCCAGCCAGCCAGCCAGCCAGCCATCCATGTCTCCGTCCATCCGTCCGTCCATCCATCCATCCATCCATCCATCCATCCATCCATCCATCCATCCATCCATCCATCCATCCATCCCATCCCTTCATTCCATTCATCCATCCATTCATCCGTCCATTCATCCGTCCATTCATCCATCCATCCATCCATCCATCCATCCACCCATTCACCCATTCATCCATGCATCCATCCATCCATCCATCCATCCATCCATTCATCCTTTCTTTCCTTCTTTCTTTCATTCATTCATTCATTCATTCATTCATTCGGTTCGCTTTCTCTGTCTATATCGTTTTGTGTTTATATTTGCTAGCTTCTTATGACATCCACTTATGCAAAATCAGGCATCTCTAAATTATATGGGGGTCGGTATATGCTGGTCGACTTGTGTGCGCAGTTCATGTTGGACAGGTTTGAGAGTAAAGCATTTGAGTTGGAATGTTCATAGGAGAAAACACCACATTTTTGGTTCTAGAAGATATGCACGCCTTTGACGATGTTGATGTTTTGTCACAGGTTTCAATTGCAAAGAAAAATAACATGTTACGATGCCATGATCGTTAAAGCTTTGATCATTTGTGAACTTTGCAATGACAGAGCATGCCGGAGAGTGGGAAGAACTCCTGTGTGCTCCTGCATCATGCATGGATTGGATGGATAGGATGACGGATGCATGGATGGGTGGATGGATGGATGGATAGATGGGTGAGTTGGTCGATGGATCCGTGCCTAGATGGATGCATGTGATGTGCATATTTGTGTATGCAGTCCTTTGCCAATGTTGGTTACGATTCGGTTGCACGTGGCAAGTTTCTGTCGATTGTGCATGACATAATATGAAACAGTAGCGGGTGCATTCACCCATGCTCCAGGTACATTGTACATATACACATAGTCCAACAGACGTATCAACTCACTCGTCATTCATTCTCCTATCGCTATGGAAAATCAGCCGGAATTCCACGCCGACGGAGTCGAAATTCCGCTTGCAACAAAATGCTCCTGCTTCGGTGCTGAATAAGGTTTCCTAGAGTCATGATGTCGGACTGTGCAGTCCAACATGGAGCCTCGTCTACAGAAGAGGCTTTGACGTACATCTCTACGGCAGAACAAGGTGCTCTAAAGCCTACGTAAACGAAGGCCCAGATCCTTCCTTGCTTCTGTGACAGTCTGTGACCAAGAGGCTCCTCTGTGAGTCGGAATGTGAAAGCATAAGCCCTGTATCCTGCCGTCTGGCTGATCCTGTAGCTGGAATGTTGAACGGTGGTAGGGCAGGGCTATCTTGCATCGCTCGCGCTTTTTCGAGTTCAGCTTGTTGTAACGCAGTGATTAGGGTTCCGTGCACTGGTTGATTCCCGCCGAGTGCGAAACCACTAAACCCAGAAACACTAAGCCCTGAATCGTTAAATTCGTATATCTCCAAGTCCCTAAAGCCTCATGCGCTCAAACCCCAAACCAAAACAACTCTCAACCTCCCAAATCCCGAAGAGCCTGGGCGGAATATCCGGCGAGGCCCTCTTCTGCTAGCTCGGCCAGTCGTGCGAGTCGTCAAAGACCGAGTTCTGCACTGCCCGTGGCCCCGGCGCATCCGCCTCATCCGGCGCCGCTTGGCTTATCGGAGGTTGAGGGATTGTGGCGTCTAGGAGTTCAAGGTTCAGGGCGGTAGGAACTCCTAGGTCCAGATTCGAAGGTCTAGAGATTGCTCGGGTCTCCCCCGAGGAGCTTTGTGTGAACTGAGAAGATCGCTGCACCTGTTCTGGTGAACTCTCAAAGTCGTGCCTCGCTAGGCTTATGCTTCGTAAATTTCAGTATGATTATGACCCCTACGGTTATGATCCCTATTATGGCTGTTATAACTATACTACTAGTAAGTTCGGGGGTTCCTTCTCCTCTGCTGTTCCTCTTCCGGTAGCCAGGCACGATGTGGTCACCTGCCGACTCGACCGTCCTCTCTCGGCTCCACTGAAAAGGAGTGCCTCGCACCCGGCAAAGGCACGGGCTCAGAGGCCGACGGGGGTCCGGGGCATCCCCTAACCCCTTCAAGGTTAAGGGTCAAGGGTTTCACGAGTGCAGGGTGGAAAGCGAGCAGCTGTCGTGGGGTGACGTTGCAACCTAGTTGCACAAGGTATAAGTATGACCCACTAAACCGTAAACTCCCAAACCCTGGGAGCCCGGAGACTTGCACCTGCTTGCTTGAATCCGTGCCTGACCTGAGCGAGTGTGGACCTCGAAATGCTCAAGCCTCCATGCAGGCCCTGAGCCCATGCGTCATGAATCGAGTGTGCAGCCTCTGCAGCTCGAAGTGTCGCTTCAAACTCACCTTCGAACCTGTGCCAAAGCCCCGCTCCAGAACCCCTAAACTGTTCAAGTCCTCCTTGACCTTCATGTCATGGTGGAGAGTCTGGTTCCTTCCGAGAAGTCCGGAAAGATGTCCGGAAATGCGGCAGATCTCGATCCGGATCTCCTCAGAGGATTCCCCTTTCGCTCATGCCTGGGTGGCACGGGTGGGCATTGGTGCCATCCGGACAGCCCGTGGAGACCGAGCACGAGCACGCAGAGAGTGAAGCAGTATGATGTCTTTTTCAGCCATGAGTGGCAGACTGGGCGCTGGAGCAAGCATTTGTCGCTGCTGGTGACCTTCAATGGCTTGCCTGCTGCAATAGCAGGGTTCGTATCAAGCCTTGCGATGGGTGCGTTTTCACTTCTGGGAGTTCTGCCCAAGTCTTACCGGCCTTGGCTGCCTGTTTGGGGCTACACGGTGTCCTTGGCCGTTTTCTTCTTCTGGCAGCATTTGCGGCAACTCTTCGTTGGGCCCAAGATTGCATTCATTGACAGCGTTTGCATACCGCAGGATGATGAGGTGCTGAAGGCACGATGCATCCAAGGATTGGGTACCTTCCTGGAGAGGTCCGAGCAGCTGGTTGTTCTATGGTCGCCGAACTATTTTCGTAGAGTTTGGTGCTCATATGAGCTAGGATTCTTCTTGCTGGAGAAGGGCCAAGCCAACATGATTCAGTTTGTGCCTGTTCAGATCGGACACATTTGCGCATGTCTGTTCCTTGGTCTATCGCTTTTTCAGGTGACGGTGCATGTAGTACCACGGCTGGGTTTTGGACCAGGGGATCTACTGGTGGTGATCAGTGTTGTTGCTGCCGTGTTGCTGCTACTTGGAATTCTGGTATTTCCGGTTCTGTGGTACACCCTGACGGACATGCTCAGGGACCTGTCGCAGCTGCCGAGACAGGTCTGCGAGTTTCGCGTGCAGGACGCTGAGTGCACGTGTTGCACGCAACAACACCGCCACCCTGTGACACATGCGCCCATTGCTTGCGACCGAGAGCTCATCTACAAGTCTTTGCGAAGTACGTTCGTACCTTCCGGCAGCGAGCAGATGAAGGAGGAAGCAGCTCTCGATGCATTCAACGGCTATGTTCGTGAGACACTCGCTCGTTCCATCGACCGAAATTTCAGGCATCAGAACATGATTTTGAGGCATGCGCTGGTGACCTGTGCTATCTCTTGTGGGCCATGGGCATCCATGAGTTTGGCGGCTGCTGCAGACTTCTCTCAAGGAGAAGAGACGGTCGCATGGCTTGGCGGATACCTGTATGGCGACCTCGTACTTTTTTGCTTGATGCGCATCTGCCTGCTGATCGGATATTTCGGTGTGTCTCGGATGGGGCGTTACCCACGCCCAGTGATCGTCTTGGGTCAGGTGGCCATGTTGAGCGTCGCTGCTGCCTCAATGCTTTTGCCCTGGCCCTTGGCCTTAGCTTTTTCTGGGTCTGGGGGGTACCCTTGGCTATGGCCCAGTGTTCTGGCTGCAGTGGGCTGCATCAGCGGCTGCTTGCTTCGGCCGGCTTTCATTGCCCAATCTACACCTGTCTTGCAGCGAGACATGCCAAGCACAACCTACGGAAGTGAGACAGGGCCAGGGCATTCCGGCACTGGCGATGAAGATGAAGAGCCAACCTTCGAGGTCTAGAGGCTCCACCTCAGGTTTAGCACAAGTCCGGACACCTCAAATTATCAAATTCTCAAAAGCGGATCCCTGAGCTGGTTTCCTATACAGTACAGTACCCCTTTGTAGGATGTCAAATTGTGGGTGTCACTTTTTGGATTCTCCTCAAGGCCTTGGGAATATGCACCACCGCCGTCATCAATTTTCAATAGATGGTTAGTTCTCTAAATTAGGGTGCCTTTTAGGATCCTTTTTCTATTGGTGCCGCACTATATTGGGGACCTACAAGGGACCCTAGTTTAGAGAATTACCCATATCTTTTGCGTGTACAATAATGTGAAGCAGTCATGTCGCTGTCTCAGAGACAGCCCTTGGCTGGGGCTGATGTTCTTGACGCATCGAAGCGGATGCCTATGCTCCGAGAGCTTGCAGCTCTAAGTCTAAGCTATGGCCTGAAGTATGACCTCCAAACCCTGCCTAAGCCCCCCAACAGTAGGAAGAATGGCCTGAGACCTATAAAAGGCCACTATTCTACATATTTTTGGAGTCCAGTTAGACCCTAAGCCCTGTTCGTGCTGGCTGCGCTCGTCCTCGGAAGCACGCTTCGAGTGGGACAGTTTTCTCTCTGAAAGAGACGAACGCCTACTGTCCATATGCCCGGGGAGTGAGAGAAACTTCAAAGCTCAACAAAAGCTTGGGTGTGGGGTTGTAGGGTTTTGTAAGCAATGAGCGCGGGTCTGAGTTTTCAAGTTCCTTGTGTGTCGCTTGTGGTTGGCATTCTTGAGCTCCCAGTTCTAAAGGGGCTCCACAAGCACCCTAGACCCTAAACCCTACCAACAACACCTATAAAAGGCACTATTCTACATATTTTTGGAGTCCACCTAGACCCTAACCCCTACCAACAACACTTGAGAGACATACCACCGCTTTGGTGGAGGCCGCAGTCGGCCGTGGCTGGGCGACCGAGGCCGGCGAGGCCGGCCGCATTGTTCTATCTTAAGGCTAGTCTATACTGGTACGATAAAGACTACTCGTTCAACACCACCACCGCCACCAGCACCACCACCACCAGCAACAACAGCAAAAATAACAACAACAGCAGCAACAACAACAACAGCAACAGCAGCAACAGCAACAACAGCAACAACAGTAACAACACCAACAACAGCAACAGCAGCACCAACAGCACCAACAGCAGCAACAGCAACAGCACCAACAGCACCAACAGCAGCAACAACAACAGCAACAGCAACAGCAACAACAACAGCAACGACAGCACCAGCAGCACCACAGCAACAGCAACAGCAACAACCACGACCACAACCACGACCACAACGAGAACCACAACCAGAACCACAACCACAACGACAACGGCAACGACAACGACAACAACAACAACAACAACAACAACAACAACAAAACAAACAACCAGAAACAGCAGCGTGCGGTACCTACGCATATCTGCGCATTGCCATAATGCCTGTCGCGTCATATTCACGTCGCGAATCCATCGGTTATTGATGTGATTTGCACATTTTCTCGAAGTTGTCGTTTTAAATTTCGTTCCGATGGGCCTGGGAACCGGCTGGCTTCTTAGGCGAGCTGGAGTGCCCAGGCCCACCAAGCCGGCGGTGCAGCATGCGGAGCACTGTCCAAGGAAGCCCCAGAAGGCGAAGAAGCCAAAGTGCCTAGCTACTTGGGCTGATCCGCTGTGCCCTACCCAGAGAACCCAATACTCCGTAATTAAGGAATATACCTTAAATTATAGGGGCCTTAATATTATGATTTAATCTATATTCCTCAATTAAGGGGTATTGGGCTCTCTGGGTACACCCTACACCGCAAAGACGGCTGTGCTAACGTCAGTGTTTCGCTCTCGGAAATAATCGTGAGTCGGGGTCAGGCGCTCCGAGTAGTCGTGGTAGAATGTAATCAGGTCTGAGGAGGAGCATTTGGTAGTAGTAGTAGTAGTAGTAGTAGTAGTAGCAGCAGAAGAAGAAGTAGTAGTAGTAGTGGTGGTAGTGTGGTGGTAGTGGTGGTAGTGGTGTTAGTGGTGGTGGTAGTGGTAGTGGTAGTGGTAGGGGTGGTCGTCGACACGTGGGGAAGACAGCAAGCGCAACATAACGGTCGCAAGTGCATCGGTACCGTGGAAAGGCCTAAAAGATTGCATTGAGCATAGCCCCGCTAATGTGCAATAAGTTGGAACGTTGGCTTGTACGAGATATCCAATTTCCCAAGCTTCGACATGAGTTTGGGAGTTCCAACAGCCAAGGAGAAAGAGTTTCAGGTCCCGTCACTGGGCGAGCTTCGAAATACCCACGACCACAATGCTGCCTGGCATTCACATTTCATCGTCGCGACAGAGATACCCTAACCCTGAACCGTGCTGCCGAGGAAGGCATGTAGCCTCCGCCAACCTGGCGTTCAGTCTAACCTTTGGGCAGACGGAAAAGGGGGTAGTAAAGAAAGAACCGTGTTGCCCTGAAGTCTGTAGTTGCGGCTGCCAGAGCACCCGAACTACCCTGCAATGCGGGCTCGTCCCTGCTAAGTGGGAGGGAAAAAACCCTAAACCGTCCGTGCTTTTCATTGTCGCGACAGGGATACCCTAAACCCTAAACCCTCCTTATTATAAGAACCTAAACACTAGAGATGCGTGCTTGCTTTCCGTCGTGGTTGCGGGCTCTGCTTCTTTGTCCTTGAGGCCTGGCCGGTACCTTATTCTGGGGTCTTCATTTAATAAGGATCCTTCTATTTAGGGTTTTGGGGTCCGTCTAATAAGGATCCCACTATTTAGGGTTTTGGGGTCCTTATGATAAGGATCCTATTATTTCGGGTGCTATCTTATGGTCCTCCATTTTCGGAAACCCCCATATCGTCATACCTCCCCTGACTTTGCTGCACCAGTTTTCCAAAAGTTACATAGCACACCACCCTTGTAACCTCGCTAGTAACCCGTTTGAGAACTCTTTAAGAACCGTGAACGGACCTTCGGAAACTCTTGTAGAAACCTGGAAAAACCATATAACGGAACCTTTATAGCAACCCTTGAAAATCCCTTATGGTAACCCTGGCTAGCACCCTATCACAGCAGCCCTAAGCAACATCCTCACACCGAGGCACCGGGTGGCAACGCATGGCTGCAAGGGTGGCACCTTGGCGCAGGTTTTAGGGTTTCGACGGAGTTTGGAGGTTGGCAAGCGTTGTGCAGGGTTTCCGTCTGGGTTGTTGTAAGGAAATTGTCAGGGTTATACCATCATACCTGAGCGTGCTTGTGAGGACTGCTGTTGGGCTAAGGCACGCGACACAGGACATGTCCTCCACTGGCATCAGTGAGCAGACTACGGGCATTCCACTGGATCCTTGAACTTGATTTGAAGTATAATATAACATGGAATAACTTAGTACAATGTAGTTTAATATGGTACATTACGTTATAGTATATTGTTGAACAGACGGGGCGGTCGCTGGAGATGAGGGTCTTTGGCTGCTGCTGGAACTACTGTACGTCGTTCGTTACATGGGTGCCGTCGTTGTAGCTTCGGAGGCTTGCTGCATGCCGCGAAGAGGAGATTCTGGTGGTCTGCGAGTATCCTTTGCCAGGGAACCGAAGCCATGTTTGGAACCGACAACTTCCAGCCCTCAACTGGAAATCTAAAGCTCCAGGTCCAGAATCTCCCAAACTCGAAATCCGAAGCATTGCAGACTCTAGACTAACCCCTACAGCCCAAATTCGCTAGACTTCTTTGAGCCCTGCTATAAAATCCCGGATTGCTAACTGCCAAGCCATAGCTTGGGGGCCGCCTGCAACAGTCCGTAAACCCTAAACCCTAGAACTCTAAAGCCCTAAACCCTAAACCCTGAACCCTAAAACCCTAAAGCCCCAAAACCCTGAACCCTAAAGCCCTAAACCGTGCTGTCTTTAGGCTTTGTGGTCCAGGGAGCTTCTAAGCGGCCCACGGCTTCGTTGAGGCCTCCTTAAAGGAACCCTCATAGAACCCTTCCGATATCGTTTATAGAACCCAGAAAGCCCAATACTCCTTAATTTAAGGAAGACACCTTAAATCATAATATCAAGGCCCCTATAATTTAAGGTATATTCCTTATTTAAGGGGTATTGGGCTCTTTGGGAAGCCTTAAAGGAAGGTAGGAGAAAGGATCCCTTGTAAAAGGACCGCTATTTGGGGGTTTTCTCACCCCCTTATACTAAACCCTTGCAAGCCTTTTTGAGCGCTTTGTTCTGCTATCACAGTATACTACCCCCCGAACCCTAAACCCGACAGTCAGCCATGCGAGAGGGACGTACTCAGAAAGCCCAATACTCCTCAATTAAGGTATATACCTTAAAGGCCCCTATAATTTAAGGGTATATCCCTTATGTAAGGGGTATTGGGCTCTCTGGGTACTCCTGCAGCTTAAATCTTATTTTGAGGATCCTACTTTCTTTTAAGGAATATTCCTTAATTATGGATTATTGGAGTCTTTGGGTACTCCTACAGCTTATTCCGAGGATTCCCGGGACCTGAGCCTCGGGAGTGTCTTGGATCCTTCCTGGCTGGAGCTCCTGCGGCCGCCAGGCTGGGCCGTGAAGAGCTTTGGGTTTAGGGTTTAGTGTTAGTCGGCGGACGAGTGGCTAACTACCAGGCGTTCTTGCTTGCAAGCCTGCAGCAAAAGGGTTTAGGGTTTGTTTGGTAGGTTTAGGGTTTGGGGCTTCCCAGCTGAATCCTAAACCCTAAACCCGAGTGTAAACCCTACAGCCCTAAAGCCCCAAACCCTAAACCCTAGTCCGGGTTCAAGAAGAGGGCTTGGGGTTAGCGGCCATAGTTTTCCTTAGGTGTGTCTGGGGTATATCTCATGCTTTACTATACCTACAGCAGAAATTTCTACGGAATGCATTTTGGCATCTATATCTACGCTTGTTTTAAGGGTTACCTGTAGCCCCCTACCTGCAGCCCCCAACCGGACAACATCGTAGCCTCAGACCCTGCGCTTACAGAGTACAGGCCTACCAGCTCAGTTTGCGGCAT